TTCTTCCCCTGGTTCTGGATTGGAAAGAACCGGTGTTGTGGTCAAGTACTTCTTTAGGTCGGTTAAAGCGGCTTCGCATTCTTCTGTCCACAGAAAGTCTGTGGCTTTTTTCACCAAGTTGAAGAAGGGTCTGCATTTATCTGAGCTTCTGCTGATGAATCTGTTTAGGGCTGCGGCCCTTCCAGTAAGCATCTGAACCTGTTTTGCCGACGTTAGGCTCTGCAGCTCTAGGATGGCCTTGATTTGGTCTGGGCTGGCCTCAATGCCCTTTCTCGTTACCAGATACCCTAAAAACTTACCTGATCCAACTCCAAACGCGCACTTTGATGTGTTAAGTTGGAGCCGGTATGTTTTGAGTATATCAAAGACCTCTTTTAGGTCGGCAAGATGACCCTTAGATTCCTTGGTCTTCACGATCATGTCATCGATGTAGACTTCTACCATTTTGCCAATCAGGTGCTTGAACATTTTTGTTACTAACCTTTGGTAAGTTGCTCCGGCATTTTTCAACCCAAAAGGCATTACCTTGTAACAGTATAGGCCTTTAGGGGTGATGAACGCGGTTTTCTCCTCGTCTGGAGGGTACATGGCAATCTGGTGGTACCCCCTGTATGCATCCAGAAAACTCATCATTTCATGCCCTGAAGTAGCGTCTACGAGCTAGTCAATCTTGGGCAGGGGAAAGCTGTCTTTGGGACAGGCTTTGTTGAGGCTGGTAAAGTCTACCCAAGCCCTCCATTTGCCGTTCTTCTTCTTCACCACTACTGTGTTGGATAGCCAAGTTGGGTAGTGAACTTCTCGGATGGCCCTGGCCTCCAGAAGTCTATCTACTTCTTCTTCTACTGCTTCGACGTGCATCAACGTCGGTCTTCTGGCTCGTTGAATCACAGGTTTTGCCGACCTGTCGACATTCAGTCTGTGGCAAGGGACTTCGGGGTCAATGCCAGGCATCTCGTAAGGTGTCCAGGCGAACACCTCAATGTTGGTTCTCAAAAAATCTTCCAGTTCTCTTTCCTCTTCTTTGGCTAAGCCTGAGCCGAGAAGAAAGAAGCATTCTTCGTCGCCCTCCTGGACAAGGATTTTCTTTAGTGTCTCTTCACTCTTTTCAGTTGGCTCCTTGCCGACATCATCTATTACCTCCATGTCCTCGTCTTCAATCTCTGCCTCTTTTGGTTTTTGGATGCTGCAAGTAGTCTTCATTGCTGCCATGGAGCAAGTTTTTGCCTGCAGTTGATCTCCTCTGACTTCTTCAATCCCATGCTCTGTTGGGAATCGTAGTAGTTGATGCAGTGTTGAGGGAACTGCCCCCATTGCATGCAACCATAGTCTTCCCAAGATGATGTTATATGGCGAGGGTGTGTCAATCACCATAAATTCTGTCTTGATCTTTTTAGTACCAGCTTGTACTTCCACGCTTGCTGCGCCTAGTGGCCATGTCGGCGTTCCATTGAAGCCGACCATCGGGCTGCTGGATTGTTCCAGGTCATCAGGGTGAAGGCCCAGCTCCTTGTAACATCTGACGTACATGATGTCACAAGAGCTGCCTTGATCTATCAGGATGCGTTTCACTTGGCATTCCCTAACCTAGAGGGATACTACCAAGGCATCATTATGCGGATGTTGGACCAACTCCAGGTCGGCTTCAGTGAAAGTTACCATCAGTCCTTGGCATTCTTCAGGCCGAGGTCTTTTGTATCCAACCTGGTTCACGTGCTGCAGGTGTTTTACTCTTTGGATTTCTCCCCGAATGTCGTTTTCGTTCACCTTTGAGTGGATTACATTAACCACCCCTGGTCCTCCTGCTTGTGGTTGCTGTGCTAGGGGAGGCGGTGCTGCTGGTGCTTGAGGCAATCTTGCTTGTTCTTCTCTTGTCCTGGCCTCATCGACAAGGTCCCTCAGATGGCCTTGTCTTACTAGGTATTTTAAGTGTGCTTTTAAGGCTTTGCAACCCTGAGTTGGGTGTCCTTCTTCATTATGGTAAGAACAGCGCCTACCAACGTTTCTTCCTATAAATTCCCTTAGTGCTCTTGCCGGTGCCCTAAAATAGGGTTGATTTCGTATTTGGTCCAGGACTTATGGATGGGGATTCGGAACACCGTTGTCACTGCCTGTTTACCCTTCAATTCTGTTTCTTGTTTGGTTGGCCTGTTGGTACCTCGGACTTGCTTCGGCGAGCCGTTTCCCTTCTCCTGCTTTATCTCTTTGTTTCCCGACGTATCTTCCTCGGCTCTGGCGTACTTCTCGATTCTCGCCATGAGTTCCTCCATGCTTTTTGGCAATGTTTTTGCCAAAGACTTCCGTAGTGGGCAGTCATCTTTCAGGCCGTTCTTGAAAGACACGACCGCCACTTCTTGGTTGCATTCGGGTATTCGATTGAACACCTCGTAGTACCTCTTCACGTAGGCCCTAAGGCCTTCTTCCTTGGTGATTCTTAAAGCCATCAGGGCGTCGACCCTCAAGGGCTGTAATTTGTTCGTTACAAACCTGGCCACAAACATCTCGGCCAGGCCTTCCCATGTCTTTACGCTTCCCTTCGGTAGTTTATGGAACCAATCAGATGCAATTTCCCCAAAGGATGAAGGAAATACTTTGCAGAGCAACGGCTCGTTCCCGCTGTATAATGCCATTGAGTTCAGGTATAGTCCAACATGAAAGTTGGGATCTGACTTACCATCATAAATTTGGAACCTTGGCATACTGAATCTCTTTGGTGCTTCAAATTCGTCCAGTTCCACCGAGAACGGTGTTCTCGGCTTAACTGGGGATGTCACCTCGGCTTCAACATTTTGCTGCCTCCTTTTAAGGTAATCCCTCAAGTCTTCCTTACTCCTACCTGGAGCTCGGCTATCTCTGGACTTCAATCTTTTTGGCACACTACTTTCGGCCTCGTGGTGGGCCCGTTTCGATCTTTCTCCATGGGTTGTGTCAAAGCAGAGTGCCTGCCCTTGAACATGCCGATGTTCTTTAGGCCCTGGATCTTTCATTCCTCGGGACTCTTCTTGCCTCGGCTCCTCTCGTCCGACTTCCCTGGAAGGTCGGTGTGAGTGCCTTCCACTCCTGGTGTGCTGAGGGGCTTCGGGGATTGCTTTCCTTCCTCCCTTCTGGGTGTTAATTGCTGGCATCGGCGTATCTTGCAGCGGGTATGGTGGCTGCATAACATTGTTTTGCATCATGAAATTGACCACTGACTGTAGGTCTGCCAACTTGTTTGCCAAGTCTTTTACTTCTTCATCTCTCCGTAGGCATCTATCCCTCTATACCTGAAGGTTATCTTCGTTATAATACTTGCTTTGGTCTGTTCGCTTCGAAGTACCACCCTCCTAGCCGACGTCTTTTTCTCCGTGACCCTGGTCATGATTTTCTGTACTGTGGTTGTCTCCTTCAACGTCAAGATCAATTGGTCTGCCACTCCTAGCAGGAGTGTCGCCCCCAATGTTTTCCCTTTGTCCGTCACTGGCCATCTATTCTTCTAAGATTCTCACAGACGGCGCCAAATTGTGTGGGTAATTTTCTGACTACACTGCCCGCCTAGTAATCAACTGAAGAGCACCGGCAGAATAAATGGCTTTAACAGACCTGTAACAAAAAGAAAAGGCTCCGGCGGTGGCTCTTCCACCCGGGGGTACTCCGACGATCAAGTCAGTATATCTCTCAAAGATAATCAAGTGCTAAACTCACAAGCTTGAGTATAAAATTGCATACCTTAGACCCACGGGGGTGCCTCTCTTTTATAGTTTACTAAATCCAAGTCCCACTAGAAGTCTGACTTCTATGGACTCCAATTCAATGTCAACTTTGGACTCTTCAAGAGATAAAGACAAACTCCCTAAGAGCTTTATCCTTATCTTAGCAAAGTCTTCTCTTTACTCTAGGACTCTTGTCCCTTATTCGCTTATCTCGGATTTCGATATCTTCGGAGATCACCTCGGCCTTGCCTAGGTAACCTCGGCATAACTACCAGGACACGTAGCACCTTGGCTGACACGTCGGCATCACCATGCCACGTGTTGGTATTCAGAAAATACATCCCCACAATTTACAATAATTTATATTTATATTTACTATAATCTCTTATCTCTTAAATGTTATAATTTTAGATGTACCGTCATTCATCATAGTATTTTTTCTTCTTTAGAAAGATAAAAAATAGTTATATTAAAATAAAGCAAACAATATATAAAGTAAAATAAAAACAATAAAAGTTTCAAGGGTCAAATAAAGAACAAAAAATAAATTTGTTAAAAAATCATCTACTACAATCTAAAGAAAGTCACTGATCTTCTCATAAATATGATTTGAAAAATTAGATCTATATCAACCTACACTACAAAAAAATTGCTTTTTTGCGACGGTAAAACGCCGTCACAAATACCTCAAACGCCGTCTCAAAAAGTTTTTTGCAACGGTAAGTGGCTTTTTGCGACGATAAGTGGGGGGTCGCAACAAAGGGGGTTGCAAAAGGGTTTTAGAGACAGCATGACACCGTCGCCTTTTTTTTGCGACGGCAAAATGCCTTTTTTGCAACGGAAAAATTCTGTCGCAAATAACGCGTGAAAATCTGAATTTTTTTGAGACCGTACCGTGTTGCCGTCGCTAAAAGGGGTTTTTACAACGGCAAAAAATACTGTCGCTAAAAGTTTATTTGAGACAGCACCTGAACCTTTGCTAAAGGACTATTGGGGACGGCAATAACACCGTCGCTAAAGGCTTTACTTGTCAACCAATTCCCTATCTTTTGCGACAGTAAATGTGCCGTCGCAAAAAACCCTGGTTCAATTTTCTTTTTGAGACGGTGTGTGCTGTCGTCTAAAAAAAAAAAAAAAAAAAATCTGTATTAAAATTGTAAAAAATATGAAAATAACTTGTATTAAATGAAAAATAACTAAAAAAAACCCAATAATTACATAATAATATAAATACATACATAAACAAAAGTTAACACATAATGAAAATTCATAATGTTGTTCCATTCATAACAATACATAAATAGAAATTCATAACAATAAAAATTATCCCATTACATAATGTTGCATAATACATACATAATGTTGTTCACAAATCTAAATAACGTAAATCAAAACCAAAAGTTTTCGTCTTGATTCTTCTGTGGGTTATAAAAACAAAAGTTATAATCTTTACACGCCCGCATTCCACAAGAAGCAAACTGCTACTCGGGAAATATCTGAAAATAACAAAATAAAAATAATTAATGACAATATAATGGTGTTAATATTTTAATTACAGAAAAACATAAAAAATTAACTACTATATAATTACAAAGATGAACAGAATAAGATGCAATGATCTGATGGTCATACAAATATGAAAACAGATTTCTATTAAACACCATAGACAAGGTATTCCGTTTATTTATTCCAACTCAAGAATTGAATGAGATAATCATCATAAAATGCATATGAATACAGACGTGTTGTAAATTTATTGTAAACCATTCTGAACTCCAAATAATAGTTTCGATAGCTTAAGTAGCCTATAAAAATAGTGTAGTTTCTCAAAATTATTTGTTCATAATAGAAAAAGAAACATGGCAAACTTACTTCCATGCGATATCCTGCTCTCAATGCACACATTGAATGAAAAGAAGTGGCACACTTGTAACACTGAGTGCAAGAACCATGAGTCTGCTTGCAAATAACACATGGCTGCAGTTCAAACAAATGTATCACGCTTAGAATAGAAGGTTAGAAACATGAGGGCATATCACCAGATGTATTTCACAGTTTTTTTTTTTTCAGCCTCCTATGTAGATTCACACAACAAACACTGTACATGCAGGAGCCATCATATTCAAAAAAATAATAATGGGTCCATTTCTTTTCTAAATATGGTGGATCCTAGATGTACAATTACCATTTTTTGTGTGGATTCATGTAGAGGAGGTGAAAAAACCAAAGGCATAACATTAATGACAACTTGTTCCACTAAATAGCAATTATACATTTATCATCTAACATATACTCTAAAATCATAAGCATATACACTTCCAAGAAGTTGGAGTGCCTGTCACACACTAACACTCATCAAACACTCTGTGTCCTATTATTTTTTTCAAAAAATTGACCCAGGCACACTTTGGACACCTTGGTGGACACACACATAATAAGTTTGAAAAAATAAATTTGGATACAACATAAATTTATACATATTAATCCCTCCTACTTTAAACCTAAAAAATTAATGTTTATCATCTTTGAATGAAAATCATATATATGAAAAATAATACAAATATATCTTTTGCATGTGTCCCTCACATGCCATGTCTTCTATTTTTTCAAAATTATCATGGTAGTGTGTCCATGCCCAAGTAACTAATTCGGCAAAGATCGAGAGCACCATGAGAGCATCTATATTATATAATTTTATATATCATATTATTTTTTAAAAAAAATAATTTATTTAAGTATTGTTATATTTTAATATAATTAAGATTATATTAGTAATTATTTGCATAATTTTTGAGTCATATAATTTTTATACTAAATATCTAGATGCTTTTACTAGCTGATTCAGTACTTAATGTTTTGTAAGTTCAATAATATCAAGATACTTAATCAAATAACAAAAAATGGAGTCAAGTGGTGCAGTAGAAGCTTCTCTTAATTCATAAAAGTGACAGGTTCAAATTCAAATCCTTCAAAAAGCGTTGTTGTTTTATTATTATACACGGAGACACAATGAGCCAGCAAGGTGATGGAGGATACTAGGTGAGCATGGTACACTAGTAGTTTATGTGTTATTCAATTATTGGCTAATCCATGAGTGGCTGGGGGAATTTTCAAACTGAAATTAATTGATCCACAGATTAATCATGGATTAAAACTCAATCTGTCGATTTGCATTCTAGTTCATGATTCACATCCAAACTATTTCAAACCCACTAAAACCGCATGTGTTTCCTGGTATAAGAAGCACAAACACTTTAACATCGTAACTTTTTTGGAAAAAAAGGACACCACGCGGCTATATAATTTTATATATTTTTTTTGTCATATTTATGAATAATAATTCATTCAAAGATAATAAAAAAAATAAAAAAAAATCTAATAACTGTATAACACTAAATTATATTCCAGCCTTGAAGCACTGCTGACAAAATTTTATCATTGTAGTGTCGGCCGCGTCACTGTGTCAGTTAGAAACACCATTTCTACAATGATTTTAAATAAGACTCATACCTTTACAAAAGAATGTGATGGAATTCTAAGAAGTCCAACTGCAGGCTCCATCTTCTCAGCATCTACAAAAGCTGCAGAAGCAGCATTCAAATCTATGAGAATCAAAAAACAGAAAATGAAACTGGGTATTTAACGCATAAATAAGGATATCAATGAGAATGCCTTTAACAGGGCAGAGACAACACTCCTTCTCAACATTAGGAGTTTCGCATGCTCTGCAAACCCATGATGTAAAATCCTGAACATTGTTGCTCCATAGCACTCTTGATAGACTGCTATTTGACACCTGAACTCAACAAGTTAAAAATAAAATTGACTCAGATGATTCTACTAGAGTTCCTAAATCAGGTGCTATCTCATGTCAGCAAATAAATTGTAATTCAAATGCATAAAATGTGATGATTAAGCATAAAGATTCATGAAGAATAGTAACACCTGTTGCAAATAACAATTTTGTTATAGTCCCAATCCTCAACCCATCTACATACACAGATTCAACACAACTACGAACAAATTTCTTAAGAACAAATTTCTTAACATACATACATACATACACAGATTCAACAAAAATTCTTAAGAACAAATTCAAACAAATTTCTTAACATACATACATATATACACAAATTTCTTAAGAACAAATTCAACAAAATCAACATGAATCTGATTAACATACATACACACAGATTCAACAAATTCCTTAAGAACAAACACACAGAGAGTGATCGGTGCAGAATAAAATAAGCAGAACAGATCAGATTCCAAAACAAAACAAACACACAGATTCCAAAACAAACAGAACAGATCTGTTGGTCTAAAATAAACAAACAGAACAGATCTGTTCGATCGGTGCAGAGATGAGAGATCAGGGAGAGAGAGAGAGAGAGAGAGAGAGAGGCTTACCTGTGAGTCGATCGGTGCAGAGATGCAAAACCAGAGTGTGAGACTGATGAGATGAGAGAGTGAGGGAGACAGATTAGATCAGAGAGATATCTGATATATATATGTGTGTATATATATATAAAAAAAAACAACGATCGGGGCAAGAGAGAGAGAGACAGAGATTGAGAGAGAGAGTTTACCTGTGAGTAGATCGGCAGTGCGATGAGATGAACAACGAGAGAGTCAGAGAGTGATCGGTGCAGATATGAAGAACAACGAAACGAGAGAGTAAGAGAGAGAGAAACAGTGATGAGTTGAACTTGAGATGAGACTGAGAGAGTGAGGAGACGATTAGGGTTCTAAGAGATTGGGGATTTTGGGGGGCGCGGGAATGGAAGAAAATGGGGGAACCGAACGGGCGGGATTGGGAAAAAATATATATTTAAATAATAATAATTTTCATCATAAATGAATATTTAAATAATAAAAAATAATAATAATATTTTTCATTTTCATCATAAATAAATATTTAATGAATGAAAAATTATTATTATTATTTTTTATTTGGTAGAAGTAAGGATAATATTTTAATGAAAAATATTTTCTATTAAGAATGATGAGTGAGAGAGAGAGAAACAAACAGACAAAAGAGAGAAAGAGATAGAGAGACAGAGACAGAAAAAGAGAGTGAAACAAGAGATGAGTGATACAAAAAGAGAGAGAAAGAGCGAAAAACGATGAATGATAGAGAGAATAGAAAAATAGAAAGATAGAGAGCAGAGAGATGGGCGAGACAGAGATAGAGAGAGAAAAAAGAGAAATGAGCGAGAGAGACGGAGAGAGAAAAGAGATGAGAGAGATAGAGACAAAAGAGATGAGCGAGAGAGACAAATAGAGAAGACAAATGGGAGGGATAGAGAGAAAAAAGATGAACGAAAGACACAGATAGAGAAGACAAATGGGAGGGATAGAGAAAAGAAAGATGAACGAAAGACACACAGACAGATAGACAAACAGACAGAGAAAGAAGAGTGATGAGTGAAAGAGAGAAATAGAAGAATGGTGGTAGTTGAATGGCATTTGCAGTAGTGGTAAATGTGGTAGAGAATATGGGTGGTGAGAGAGAGATGAGTGAGAGACGAATAGAGAAAAGAGATAGAGAGACAGAGAAAGAGACAGAGACAGAGTGATAAGCGAGAAAGAGACAAAGTGGTCGCTAAAAGTGCATTTTCTTGTAGTGGATCGATAAATCGAAAGGGAGCTCAATAAATAAAGAGGAGATGAGGGAGAGAGTGAGCAAGGCGAACACAGTGGGGGAGAGAGACAGACAGACAAACAAACAGGCAGACAGAAAGAGAGAAGAGTGATAAGTGAGTGAGAGAGAGAGAGAGAAGGAGAGAGAGAGAGATAGACAGAAAAAGAGAGAGAAACAAGAGATGAGTAAGAGATAAACTAAAAGATAGAGAAACAAAGTGAAAAGAGATTAACGAGAGAGACATAGAAAAAAAAAAGAGACAGAGAGAGTGGTAGTGGTAGTGGTCATAGTTCCACCCATTGATTTAAGTATGGTGTTTGTTTTGAGCTTTCAAATCATAATTCTACATCCATTTTTCAAAACTCAATTCAAAATATAATCATTACTTTTCGAAACTCATAATCAAACACATAATTCAAAACTCTTTTCAAAACTTAATTCAAATTAATTTTTTAAATATTTTAAATATTTAAATATTTTAAAAATATTTTAATTTTGTGAGAGACAGATAAAGAAGAGAGATAGAGAGAGAGACAGAGATAGAGTGATGAGTGAGAGAGAGAGAGAGACAAAGTGGTTACTAAAAGTGTATTTTCTTATAGTGGATCGATAAATCGAGAAAGAGCTCGATAAATAGAGAAGATGGAAGTAAGAGAGTGAGCAAGGCGAACATAGTGAGGGATAAATAGACAAATAGACAAGTAGACAGAGAGAGAGAGAAGAGTGATGAGAGTGAGAGAGACAGAAAAAGAGATAAAGAGAGATAGAGGGAGAGATAGAAAAAAAAAAAAAGAGAAACAAGAGATAAGCGAGAGATAGACAAAAAAAAGAGAGAAATAGAGCGAAAAGAGATGAGAGAGAGAGAGAAAAAAAAAAGAAATGAGAGAGATAGAGAGAAGAGAGATGAGCGAGAGAGATAAAGAAAGAAAACAGATGAGAGAGATAGAGAGAAGAAAGATAGGCAAGAGACACAGAGAGAAAATGAGAGAGAGAAACAGACAGACAGAGAAAGAAGAGTGATGAGTGAAAGAGATAAAGAGAAGAGAGAGGGATAGAGACAGAGAGACAGGAAGATGAAAAAATGAATGAAAAGAGAAATGTTATATCAAAAGAGTAAGACGACATTGTTTTTATTTTTTTTTTTTTTTGCGACAGAAAAATATCGTTGAATTTATTCAAACCATTTTGTGACTGTATATATATGAAGCTATCTCAAAACCACAATCACTATGCTAGGTTTGAGTTTTCAAAAAACTCTTTTGAGAAAATTATACTTTCTTGTTTTTCGTGTTATATTGTTTTTACTGAATTTTTTTAATATTTTAAGTATTTTTTTAATTTTTAGACACATCTAACATAAATACACCTAAAAATTAAAAAAGTCGTAAAAAAAAATCTTTTAAAAATTCATTAAATACCAAAAATACAAAAAAAAAAAATTTACAACAATTTAATACATATTTTTTTTGTATTTTTATGTATTTATTCATTTTAAAAAAAAATTTCATAAATTTTTTATTTTTTAAATACATCTAAGTAAGGTGCATCTTAAAAAAAATATTTAGAATTTTAAAAATATTCACCAAAAACAAAAAAAAACACGAAAGTCACTTTTTGTGACGGCAAAAAATGTCGTCTCAAAAAAGCAGAGTATTTGCGACGGCACCATTTGTCGTCTCAAAAAAGCAGAGCATTTGCGACGGCACTATTTGCCGTCTCAAAAAATGAGAATATTTGCGACAGTAAATAGTGCCGTCGCAAATACTCTCATTTTTTGAGACGGCAAATAGTGCCGTCGCAAATGCTCTGTTTTTTTGAGACGGCAAATGGTGTCGTCGCAAATACTCTGCTTTTTTGAGACGGCATTTTCTGCCGTCGCAAAAAGTGACTTTTTGAGACAGCAAGTGTGCCGTCACAAATAGTTCCGTCTCATAAACCTACTTTTCTTGTAGTGCTAAGCAAGATATGTATCAACACCAGTCATTGACGTCGTTTCTGTCACCGCTATCTAACTCCGTCACTACTGTCATCGTACTTTGAACACCACCAAAAGCTAGTTGAAGAGGAAGAATATCCACAATGATACAAGAGAAGGCTTGAGAAAAAAGGGAACCATTGTGGGTGCTAAAAAATCAAAAATCTCTATTAAAATCAGGAAAGAAACACTCAAAATCTTTAGATTCTGTTTCTACCTAGTTGGCCCCAAATTGTACTTTCCTTTATGACCTTTTAAATTTTAATCACTTTGTTTGGTTTGAATTTTTTAAAAACACTGTTTAAAAAATTTTACTTTTTTGATTTTTGTATTTTTTTGTTTTAATTAATTTTTTTAATTTTTAGATACACCTAACATAAATATACTTAAAAAGTATAATTTTCATGAAAAAAAATTCTTTAAAAAATTCACTAAATATCAAAAATATAAAAATTCAGTATATATTTTTATATTTTTGTATGTTTATTAATTTTTTAAAATATTTTTTCACAAATATTTTATCTTTTAGATATATCTAAGTAAGGTATATTTAAAAAAGTAAAAAAATATTCAAAATTTTAAAAATATTCATTAAAAAAAAAATTTAATTTTCAAAAAATTGATTCAAAAAACTGAAACTAAACAAACACACTGATTTATTTTTATTTTTTATTTTTTTAGAAAGCAATCAAGACTCGTCAAAGACCAATGGGTTAGTTGTTGAGGTATTCCTTACCATGCACGAAACCAAACGTGATTAGCTTGAAGCTTATTTGTCTTTGCAATTTGTCTCGGTCAATTTCTTATTATATTTATTTTTTGTATTGTATCAATTTATTTTGGGGTATTTTTTTTAAGGTCCCTGATATTATGATTTTATAGTATAAAGGACATCAAATATTTTCATGATGTCTAAGGTCCCTTAACATCAATCCAGAGAAATTTCAGTCCCAGAGAAAATTGGTCCCAGAGAAAATTCAACCAGAGAAAATTTAATCCAGAGAAATTCTCTGGTCCAAACCAGAGAAAATTCAATTCAGAAAAATTCAATTCTGTCTAAAATTTACCTCTCATTCTAGCTAAAATATTTACAGTAAAGTTGTATTTTTATGAACAGAACTTGGT